TGTTGGATCGTGATGTGATGTGAGTGTTATTGTTGGATCATGACGTTGTTTGAGCGCATTGTTGGATCATGACGTTGCTTGAGTGTCATTGTTGGATCATGACGTTGTTTGAATGTCATTGTTTGATCAGGACGTGGTGTGAGTGTTATTGTTTGATCATGATGTGATGTGAGTGTTATTGTTGGATCATGACGTTGTTTGAGTGTTTTTGGTGGATCATGACGTTGTTTGAGTGTTATTGTTGGATCATGACGTTTTTTGAATGTTATTGTTGGATCATGAGGTGGTGTGAGTGTTATTGTTGGATCATGATGTGATGTGAGTGTTATTGTTGGATCATGACTTTGTTTGAATGTCATTGTTGGATCATGACGTTGTTTGAGTGTTATTGTTGGATCATGATGTGGTGTGAATCCTATTGTTTGATCATGATGTGGTGTGAGTGTTATTGTTGGATCGTGATGTGATGTGAGTGTTATTGTTGGATCATGACTTTGTCTGAATGTCATTGTTGGATCATGACGTGGTGTGAGTGTTAGTGTTGGATCATGACGTGGTGTTTGTGATATTGTTTGATCATGATGTGATCTGAGTGTTATTGTTGGATCGTGATGTGATGTGAGTGTTATTGTTGGATCATGACGCTGTTTGAGTGTTATTGTTGGATCATGACGTGGTGTGAGTGTTATTTTTGGATCATGATATTATGCTAGTGTTATTGTTGTATCATGACTTTGTTTGCGTGTCATTGTTGGATCATGACGTTGTTTGAATGTCATTGTTGGATCATGACGTTGTGTGAGTGTTATTGTTTGATGATGATGTTATGTGAGTGTTATTGTTGGATCATGACGTGGTGTTTGTGATATTGTTGGATCATGACGTGGTGTGAGTGTTATTGTTGGATCATGCAGTGGTGTGAGTGTTATTGTTGGATCATGACGTGGTGTTTGTGATATTGTTGGATCATGATTGATGTGAGTGTTATTGTTTGATCATTATGTTATGTGAGTGTAATTGTTGGATAATGACGTGGTGTTTGTGATATTGTTTCATCATGACGTTGTGTGAATGTTATTGTTAGATCATGACGTGGTGTGAGTGGTACAGTTGGATCATGACGTGGTGTGAGTGTTACTGTTGGATCATGGCGTGGTGTGAGTGTTATTGTTGGATCATGATGTGATGTGAGTGTTATTGTTTGATCATTATGTTATGTGAGTGTAATTGTTGGATAATGACGTGGTGTTTGTGATATTGTTTCATCATGACGTTGTGTGAATGTTATTGTTAGATCATGACGTGGTGTGAGTGTTACTGTTGTATCATGGCGTGGTGTGAGTGTTATTGTTGGATCATGATGTGATGTGAGTGTCATTGTTGGATCATGGCGTGGTGTGAATGTAATGGTTGGATCATGACGTGGTGTGAGTGTGATTGTTGGACCATGACGTGGTGTGAGTGTTATTGTTGGATCATGATGTGATGTGAGTGTCATTGTTGGATCATGGCGTGGTGTGAGTGTTACTGTTTGATCATGGCATGGTGTGAGTGTTATTGTTGGGTCACGATGTGATGTGAGTGTCATTGTTGGATCATGGCGTGGTGTGAATGTAATGGTTGGATCATGACGTGGTGTGAGTGTGATTGTTGGATCATGACGTGGTGTGAGTGTTATTGTTGGATCATGATGTGATGTGAGTGTCATTGTTGGATCATGGCGTGGTGTGAATGTAATGGTTGGATCATGACGTGGGGTGAATGTTATTGATGGATCATGACGTGGGGTGAATGTTATTGATGGACCATGACGTGGGGTGAATGTTATTGATGGATCATGACGTGGTGTGAGTGTGATTGTTGGATCATGGCGTGGTGTGAATGTTATTGTTGGACCATGACGTTGTTTGAGTGTCATTGTTAGATAATGATGTGATGTGAATGTTATTGTTCCATCATGACGTTGTTTGAGTGTCATTGTTGGATCATGATGTGGTAAGAATCTTATTGTTGGATCATGATGTTTATTGTTGGATCATGACGTTGTTTGAGCGCATTGTTGGATCATGACGTTGCTTGAGTGTCATTGTTGGATCATGACGTTGTTTGAATATCATTGTTGGATCAGGACGTGGTGTGAGTGTTATTGTTTGATCATGATGTGATGTGAGTGTTATTGTTGGATCATGACGTTGTATGAGTGTTTTTGGTGGATCATGACGTTGTTTGAGTGTTATTGTTGGATCATGACGTTTTTTGAATGTTATTGTTGGATCATGAGGTGGTGTGAGTGTTATTGTTGGATCATGATGTGATGTGAGTGTTATTGTTGGATCATGACTTTGTTTGAATGTCATTGTTGGATCATGACGTTGTTTGAGTGTTATTGTTGGATCATGACGTTGTTTGAGTGTTACTGTTGGATCATAACGTTGTTTGAGTGTTATTGTTGGATCATGATGTGGTGTGAATCCTATTGTTTGATCATGATGTGGTGTGAGTGTTATTGTTGGATCGTGATGTGATGTGAGTGTTATTGTTGGATCATGACTTTGTTTGAATGTCATTGTTGGATCATGACATGGTGTGAGTGTTATTGTTGGATCATGACGTGGTGTTTGTGATATTGTTTGATCATGATGTGATCTGAGTGTTATTGTTGGATCATGATGTGATGTGAGTGTTATTGTTGGATCATGACGTTGTTTGAGTGTTATTGTTGGATCATGACGTGGTGTGAGTGTTATTTTTGGATCATGATATTATGCTAGTGTTATTGTTGTATCATGACTTTGTTTGCGTGTCATTGTTGGATCATGACGTTGTTTGAATGTCATTGTTGGATCATGACGTTGTGTGAGTGTTATTGTTTGATGATGATGTTATGTGAGTGTTATTGTTGGATCATGACGTGGTGTTTGTGATATTGTTGGATCATGACGTGGTGTTAGTGTTATTGTTGGATCATGCAGTGGTGTGAGTGTTATTGTTGGATCATGACGTGGTGTTTGTGATATTGTTGGATCATGATGTGATGTGAAGTTATTGTTTGATCATTATGTTATGTGAGTGTAATTGTTGGATAATGACGTGGTGTTTGTGATATTGTTTCATCATGACGTTGTGTGAATGTTATTGTTAGATCATGACGTGGTGTGAGTGGTACAGTTTGATCATGACGTGGTGTGAGTGTTATTGTTGGATCATGATTTGATGTGAGTTTTATTGTTTGATCATGACGTTATGTGAGTGTAATTGTTGGATAATGACGTGGTGTTTGTGATATTGTTTCATCATGACGTTGTGTGAATGTTATTGTTAGATCATGACGTGGTGTGAGTGGTACAGTTGGATCATGACGTGGTGTGAGTGTTACTGTTGGATCATGGCGTGGTGTGAGTGTTATTGTTCGATCATGACGTTGTTTGAGTGTTATTGTTGGATCATGATGTGGTGTGAATCTTATTGTTTGATCATGATGTGGTATGAGTGGTACAGTTTGATCATGACGTGGTGTGAGTGTTATTGTTGGATCATGATGTGATGTGAGTGTTATTGTTTGATCATTATGTTATGTGAGTGTAATTGTTGGATAATGACGTGGTGTTTGTGATATTGTTTCATCATGACGTTGTGTGAATGTTATTGTTAGATCATGACGTGGTGTGAGTGGTACAGTTGGATCATGACGTGGTGTGAGTGTTACTGTTGGATCATGGCGTGGTGTGAGTGTTATTGTTCGATCATGACGTTGTTTGAGTGTTATTGTTGGATCATGATGTGGTGTGAATCTTATTGTTTGATCATGATGTGGTGTGAGTATTATTGTTGGAGCATGCTGTGGTGTGAGTGTTACTGTTGGACCATGCTGCGGTGTGAGTGTTATTGTTGGATCATGACGTTGTTTGACCTTAAACATAATACGTCAAGGTCATCACAATCGGCTGGAGTCTGGACATCCCCCATATACACCATGCTGCCAAATATGAATGAAATGTACCGACTGGTTCTTGAGATATCGCGCCAACACTTTTTTCGGACGTACGGACGGGCCTCCGGACGGTCGTGAATACTATATCTCCATCTTCGCACTATCGCACAGCGGGGGACAATAAAAATATCATTGAGCCACTTTAGCTACGCCTTTCGCCCAATATTCATATGAAATAGTTATCAACCGCTCAATTATAGTTACACAGTAAAATCGAAACACTTTAGATAAGGGTAAGGGACACATGCAGGCATATGCACTTCACTGTAAAATGCACCTTTACTTGTACAGTTCGTATAACAAACGTTGGCCCTGCTTTCATAGACGTGCAATACTATTTACCTCTTTAAGATGATACTCTTCTATTTATTCCGCGAGACCTCTATGTAATATAGCAGGTTCTGTGATTGAGCAGTCTCGAACCAGAGCTCCCTATGTATGCACCTTTGTTAACACTACATATCCCAGTACCCGTATCAGCCAACAAATCAGTAATTTACAATGTCTTTTAGTTTCAAAGGTAATCTCTAAATTTCCATTGCCTTTGATGTTTTTTGTGATCAAATATTTATCAAACATTAGATATGGGTTGAAGACTAAATAGTCGGGCAAAAGAATTTATACACTTGAAAATACCTGCTTCACTCGGCTGGTTGCTGTGGACTGAAATATTGTCTACCATGATCTTTGAGACGCCATGTGAACGTCACCTGTCACTATACTCATTGATATGATGCATGTCAAATCGCCTGATACCCGTCTCAATATCAATCACCATCGAAACAAACAATTTTTGTTTGTTTCATTTTTAGCCATCATCAAATATGGGTGTATACTTTCTTTTGCCAAGTAGTTTTTTTTACCAAGAGGGGTGTTAATCATAAGGGAGAGCTCAAACGGACACAAAATAGTACAGGAATGTTTTATCGATCATTTAAGTAGAAAAAGGCGAATACAGACAGAAAGCAAAGATACAGAGAAGAAGATGATGGAGCGTTCTGTAACTTACAATTCTCTCGTTTCTTCTGATCTCGATGGAGGATGGACAGATTCTACGGACGCCTCTCGAGAAGAGTCTCATGGTTGCCCTTTTCCAGGTAGAAGAATTCCTTCTTGAATACCTACACCTATAATTCCATTGTCTTTTAGGCACCGTAGTGGAGACGGCGTCGTTTGTTCTACTGCCAACTGGCTTTGGTTTGGTTTCAGGGCCTCTTCAACAAAATCAATGAATAACCCAAATGCTTTAGACGCGGCTATTCTTACCAGGAACAGACTGAGACACGCGTATCCATCTTGTATTCGGAACTAACAATGAATATACAAAATTAATCCCGAATCTGTTACCGATTGTATTATCCCATAACAGATATCTGGTTAAATAGAACCCACAGGCGGTACATGTCGTATCCGGGATGACCTGTTGAAAGGCAATCAACTTTTATATTCTTGTTCACACGATGGTATCACTAAACTGAAATACACTTGTGTGCTGCTGGGGAAACATATATAGATTTCCATTTAATGTATAAAATATGGCATGACAAATATTCATCAATGAGGGAGTAAGGTTTGGGACTGCTTTCTAAACTTAGACAAGCATGAGGTTTCAATCTGTAGCCAGGCAGTTCCGTTGAAACGTTCGTGTGACAAATTTACAAAGAATTCCGCTGATGTTATGAAACGGTCGTTTCTCTCTATAACGCAGTAAGAAAAAACACCATTATAAAGCAATTTTTGGTTTCACTGTAATGTGTTGATCAATTCGGTAACATTAGTTTCTTTGAAAGGGATACTTCAAAGGTACTACCAACGATTTGTATAAAGTAAAACCTGTTTATCCGAACGATATACGTCACGCCTTTGGTCGTTATGGAACGTGTGTTGATAATCGACTCGCATTCCCGCAACACGGATATCATGATAAAAATTCTGGTAGTTTAAATCGGGAATAGGTTTCCTGCAGGAATTACTGAAATTAAAGTGTAATTCTTAAAGCAATATTTACGCGACAATGTAGGCATTTGACTATATGCGTTGTTGTTACCTTGCCATTGACCTTGTTAGAGCATTTTTATGACAACCATGCGTTAATGGCTTAAACCGTTAGGGCCCAACACGTTTAACCTTGTTTTCATTGATCGGCTAGCCGGTTATATCTTTACTGCCGATATCTTTGCTATCATAAATTCTAACTCGAACCTACCAAACTCTAAAACTAATTAAAAAACAGGAATTGATTTGTTTGTCCCCTGAAAACCATATGCTTATCTATTACAATTACTATCACTAGACTTGTGTTCTTAACACAGCTTACGTGGGCGTACCTTGTGATATCATTCCCGTAAAAGGTGACTATGCTTGTCGTAATGGACGGCTAACGGGGTCGGGTGGTCAGACTCGCTGACTTTATGCATGTCATCGTATTCCAATTGCGTGGATCGATGCGCACGATGTGAATCACTGGATTGTCTGGTCCAGACTGGATTATTTCGTACCGCCGTCACATAGCTGGAGTGCGGCGTTAAACAACAAACAAACGAAACAAAAAATATACATGTACTGCTTCTTATCTGTTATCGACAAATTGATATGATCCCATTATGTGGGGTTTACTTTTAACCAACTCTCAACATTAAATACATGCTGAAGTTCACAAGCATTTGCTATTAATGTTGTGCCATGTGCCCTACATGAGTAGCTATCCTTTAAGGTTTTCACTCCAATATAAATGACGGTTCATCCGTATGGTAATCCCAGGAATTGTTCCATGTGACACGTCTGACTAAGAACATTAATTTTCAATAAAAGTCATGAAGGTGAAAATGATACGACTTAATATATTATGGTCACTCTTGATCTTTCCATAGGGACAACTCCTTCACAAACGTTTTGGAATATGAAGTTTTATTGCAAACAGTAGTAAAACGATGTTTTGTGAGATAACCCCACAGAAATGTTCCCCAGTGTCCAACGCTTGTCGTTACAACCTACCGAACGAGTTGGGTGGATACAATGTGTGAATTGATGATTGCGTGTCATCGGTCGTTCTGCGACGGCAGTGAACATTGCTCCTGATATCAACTACTGGTTGTAATGCCCAGACTATATTATTTATAGATCTACGTGATATAGTTGGAACATTGATGATTGTAGCGTTAAACAACAAACACCTTAACATTGATCAACGAATTCAGCTTTAATCAACAAGTCAGCGTTTAAGAATTAAACACAGTATTAATGACATAGTTGTAAATATATTGAAATGACAACGTGTAAAACTAGTGCAAACATTTACGTAATCTAACGAGAAAACGCCCTACATTTGTTCATGCATGTACCACGGTTGTGCTGCAATGACAGCTGCTAAATCGGGTGTCCAGTCTGTGATGACAAGTGTTGAGACCGGTGTGCAAACAATGTAATGATAGCTCTGTGTCCAGGTGTGCGAAGTTTGTAATGACAACTGTTTTGGCGCTAGTGCAACTGATGCAATGACAGCTCTGTAGACAGGTGTGCAAAGTTTGTAATGACAACTGTTTTGGCGCTAGTGCAACTGATGCAATGACTACTCTGTAGACAGGTGTGCAAAGTTTGTAATGACAACTGTTTTGGCGCTAGTGAAACTGATGCAATGACACCTCTGTGGACATATGTGCGAAGTTGGTAATGACAACTGTTTTGGCGCTAGTGCAACTGATGCAATGACAGCTCTGTGTCCAGGTGTGCAAAGTTTGTAATGATAACTGTTTTGGCGCTAGTGCAACTGATGCAATGACTACTCTGTAGACAGGTGTGCAAAGTTGGTAATGACAACTGTTTTGGCGCTAGTGCAACTGATGCAATGACAGCTCTGTGGACAGATGTGCGAAGTTTGTAATGACAACTGTTTTTGCGCTAGTGCAACTGATGCAACGACAGCTCTGTGTCCAGGTGTGCGAAGTTTGTAATGACAACTGTGTTGGCGCTAGTGCAACTGATGCAATGACAGCTCTGTAGACAGGTGTGCAAAGTTGGTAATGACAACTGGTTTGGCGCTAGTGCAACTGATGCAATGACTACTCTGTAGACAGGTGTGCAAAGTTTGTAATGACAACTGTTTTGGCGGTAGAGCAACTGATGCAATGACAGCTCTGTAGACAGGTGTGCAAAGTTGGTAATGACAACTGGTTTGGCGCTAGTGCAACTGATGCAATGACTACTCTGTAGACAGGTGTGCAAAGTTTGTAATGACAACTGTTTTGGCGCTAGTGCAACTGATGCAATGACAGCTCTGTGGACAGATGTGCACAGTTGGTAATGACAACTGTTTTGGCGCTAGTGCAACTGATGCAATGACTACTCTGTAGACAGGTGTGCAAAGTTTGTAATGACAACTGTTTTGGCGCTAGTGAAACTGATGCAATGACACCTCTGTGGACATATGTGCGAAGTTGGTAATGACAACTGTTTTGGCGCTAGTGCAACTGATGCAATGACAGCTCTGTGTCCAGGTGTGCAAAGTTTGTAATGACAACTGTTTTGGCGGTAGTGCAACTGATGCAATGACAGCTCTGTAGACAGGTGTGCAAAGTTGGTAATGACAACTGTTTTGGCGCTAGTGCAACTGATGCAATGACTACTCTGTAGACAGGTGTGCAAAGTTGGTAATGACAACTGTTTTGGCGCTAGTGCAACTGATGCAATGACAGCTCTGTGGACAGATGTGCGAAGTTTGTAATGACAACTGTTTTTGCGCTAGTGCAACTGATGCAACGACAGCTCTGTGTCCAGGTGTGCGAAGTTTGTAATGACAACTGTGTTGGCGCTAGTGCAACTGATGCAATGACAGCTCTGTAGACAGGTGTGCAAAGTTTGTAATGACAACTGGTTTGGCGCTAGTGCAACCGATGCAATGACTACTCTGTAGATAGGTGTGCAAAGTTGGTAATGACAACTGTTTTGGCGGTAGTGCAACTGATGCAATGACAGCTCTGTAGACAGGTGTGCAAAGTTGGTAATGACAACTGGTTTGGCGCTAGTGCAACTGATGCAATGACTACTCTGTAGACAGGTGTGCAAAGTTTGTAATGACAACTGTTTTGGCGGTAGTGCAACTGATGCAATGACAGCTCTGTGGACAGATGTGCACAGTTGGTAATGACAACTGTTTTGGCGCTAGTGCAACTGATGCAATGACTACTCTGTAGACATGAAACAGTTCCATTCCTATGACTGTCGTGTAGCAAACTGTTTGACGTGGCAACAAGGTTTCAGAAACGTAAGTTACAAAAACGTTGCGTGATGTCCGATGTAAAATGTTTTACAACGTAAATGTGCAACGTTGTTTTTACATTGTGAAATAACATTTCACAGCGACGTAATAATAACGTTGTGACAACGTTATATCACAACGTTACCAATCGAAATCGTTGTGAAAATGTAGTGTGTAAGCTGGGATATATGGGGAGACCTGAATGGCAGTCTCAGAAATGAGTGATTTCCTCGAGGGCGTGGACACCCTTCGAGACAGGCAGGTTGAAGACGATGTATCCAACGTCCATGGTCGTAGTTTAATTGACGCTTTGTAAATTACGTTCTCTATATCCTCAATGGAAGAAATACAACATTTAAAGATGTTACATATCTTCAAGAGGAGTCTCGGGTGTAGACTATTGCCTTGTACCAAGTGACTGATGATGAGACTTTAGTTGTTTTCGGGTTCTGCGACCCACACATCTGATACAGGGCGCAGGTGGTGAACTCGTAAATGAAGACTATAATCTCAGTAAGCTGGAGCGTTCACTGTAGACTAACACTTAGCCAATGAAAACATGTCTTTAAAATAATAATAATGTTTTTCTTCAAAAGAACCTTTACTCATCTGCTGTGGAATCAAGGAAACTAGACTTGGGTTTGTCTGATCTAGTGTTTACTAGGCTTTTAGTAAATATACATATACATATTCCACAGCCATGGCGCAGGACTACATTCACTGTTACAGCTGAACAATCAGACAATGTGTATAAAACGCGTTTTACAGCATCAAATACACCGGCTGACGTTGTAGCATCTGACAAAAGTGTTGGACATTGAATGATATTATCTCACAACTAGTTTTGTCGACAGTCTAGCACTGGCCTAGATCTGTGTTCTGGGAGACTCTGCGAGAGTACGTGATAAGCTGTAACCTGTAAATCGGGTGTAATGATGTTTTCGATAAATGTAATAGAATCCTCGTGTGAGGAAAACCATTGCGTAATGAGGACTTGCGTGTAGGGAATGAGATGTGCTTATTCTCAAAAAGACGACTGCTTAA